GAGGAACAACTGTAATAATCTGAACAATAAAGATTTATTTTAAAAATATTGAAACAACAGCTAAAAAAAATAAAATGAAATAAAATTCATACCCCCATATTCAAGCAGTACTTAGAAAACCACCTTCTTCCTCCAGCCCTTCCAATTTCCAGAGAAGACTCCTTCTTTTAGGATGTTCCCCTTAGATCTACCCCTTCTCTAGCCCACCACCACATTATCCAAAGTTTCCTCTCACCTTACTTGGGTAAGTATATATTTCTTCTATTGATTTCAGTGTTGTTTATCTTATATATATTCTAACATTCAAAATTTAAGGTCAGTAAATGGTATCTATTCTATGTGTGCATGTTCTTTATTTTGTATTCTGAGTTATTACTGTACACTGCTATCAACTTGTCGATTGACAAATTGCAAGGTTTAAAGATTGGCCTGAAAACACAATGGACACACTCTGGTTAAAAGACAAAGAAAAAGTGAAACAGAAAATAGCACAATTTACAACAACAACAAAATATAACGGCATGCCATGACAAAATAATTTATTCTTCCAGTCACTAAGAATCTTTGCTGAAGCATACACACCATAGGTGCTACCACATTAAATTACTCTATATATAAAGAAACATTAGGATTGATCATTGAGGTTATTTCAACCTGTTGCCAGTATAGACTCTAGTCACCTCTTTATAAGAATACCCTGGAGGTCCCTAAACCTGAGAATCATATTGTGAATATTTTCCTCTCCCTGGGCAGTAATCATCACACTCTTGAGCCTTTGAAACTAACAGACATCACTTTGCTAGTAGAGAACCAGCTTCTGTTTCAGCCAGATTTGTAATTAGGCTATTAAGCTGTTTTCATTTACACTTCAGTCCATCAAATTGGCTTCAGAATGTGGAATTTTTGCACTCGGCCTTTATTTTCCATTACGCATTCCAATTCTGAATGTCATAAATGAATGGCCATTTGGTCACTGGTTTGTTGCCAACAGGGCACAGCTGTATCCCAATTAAGAATTACTTTGTGTGTTATGCCAACTTATAGAGCTAGCAAACGGACATTGACCAGAAAGGCGAAAGACCTTCACTTTCTTTAATTGCATCACTATAGTATCATCCCCTTGAGTCTTGAAGACTCTCAAAATGTAAGCACTAAGCCCTCTAGCAGGCATTAAAGGAGGAAAGGGAAAGGTACTGAAGTACCTACTATGTGCCAAGGGTTGTACTAGGTTCATTCATAATTAACATCGCACTTCACTCAACCCCCATGCTAACACCAGGGAGTCAGAGATGCATATTAGCTCCATTTTACAAGCAAGGATACTAAAGTTCAAAGAAGTTAAGCATGGTCATGCCATTAGTAGATGCTAGACCTAGTACTTAAGCCAGACCTAGCAGAATCTAGATCCAGTGCTCTTTTGCCTACACACATGCTTCTCCTAGCAGTGAGATCTAGTGCTGCCTGTTCATTGCCTCTTTCGCTGCCCCTGTGTCCAACGAGGAAGTCTATTGGTAATTTCACTTATTTTGATATTTTGCCTAGGCATAGCCTACCCTCAGTTTTTCTTTCCTCACTTTAACATGGGAAGAGTAAAGGGGCAGTGGGCTATGATCAAATCCAACATGCCTGTTCTGACCTCGTCCCTCCCACTTCCCCACCACAGAACTTACTAGAATGTCTGTAGTCTACATATTGGTTGAATCAATACATCATACAACATTTGCACTCCAAAATCCTTGAGGTCATTTCCACTTAAGTCTAGGAATGTTAGGTTCTCATTTCTGTCGAGGACAGAGGCAAGGGCTCCACAGCACACATCTGTGAGGTGACATTTTACTAACCCAGGGGTCTTCAAACTACGGACCACGGGCCACATGCAAATACAAATATTGTATTTGTTCCCATTTTGTTTTTTTACTTCAAATTAGATATGTGCAGTGTGCATATGAATTTGTTCATAGTTGTTTTTTTTAAACTATAGTCTGGCCCTCCAACGGTCTGAGAGACAGTGAACTGGCCCCCTGTTTAAAAAGTTTGAGGACCCCTGTACTAACCTATGGAAGATTAGGTATTCAAGAAAGAAATCAGTCTTATCCCAAGTTCCACAATGACCCTACATTCCATATACAGCCTGGCAAAAAGAGCTCAGTGGCCAAAGAGCCCTTGTGTACTCACCACAAGGTCTGTAGTTTATAGGAAGGATGTTTCAACCCTTGACACAGCACCTTCATGCCTTACCCCCCTAAGGCATTGTCACTGAGGTCAAGTTCTCTCAGTTGTTCATTGGTGTAGAGTGCATTACACAAATCCTGACAACACTCTCCAGTTAGGTGACAGGTCCACAATCTGCTAGAAAGCAAGGTAGAAAAGGGTGGCATCATTTCATCTGCACTGAGTCACTTTAGGAATTATGTTTGCCCACTAAAAAAATACATTAGAAAATCAGAGTGTCATGTAAGAAAAAATTCCTTGGACCAGAGCTTGTGGAGAGGGGATTTATTTCCCCTATATTATTTAGGTTTTCATTTATTGCTACATTAAAGAGTCAATCACCAGGCCAAAAAGTACTAATTTAATTTTGGGAGTTGCTGAAATATCAGGAAACTCTGCTTGTGGCTATAGTCCATGACACTTATGACAGATCCTTTAACTGACAGGCTGTTTTAATCCCTTACACAACAATTTCAGTCCCAAATCTTCAATGTTGTTATTAATTAGAAGTAGCCTTGTCAGGCTCTGGGCAAAGCTCGGGACTTGGGTGAGGGTATCACAACAAGCTGCAGAGAGGGAGTATTCAGAAAGCCTGACGGGATGGGGACACCAACATGACTATGTTAACTATGGCAGCAGGGAGTCCCGCTGAACCTCAAATGCCAAAATCCCATGAGAAGGACAAGGACAAGCAGACACTTACATAAGATTCTAGACTTTACTCTTCCCATGCCATAGACTTTCACAGAGATGCTGTACTCCTGTGTGCCCCAGGGCATTGGCAACCACAAACAGCTCTTTTAAAGTCCGACTCGCAAGAAAGAAGAGAGTTCCACACAGCTAGCATCTGTGAGTTAACATGTGCTCAAGCTACCCAGAGAAAACGAAAAATCAGACACTGCTGTCATTTAGCTTTCTGGAAATATTCTCCCATCCTCCCTATTTAGCTAAATCCTAGCCATCTTTCAAGTTCCAGCTCCTGGCCCACCTCCTTCAGAGCCTCTTCCTGAGGTCTCCAGCCCATAGTGACCTCCTCACTGACCTTGAACTTATCTGACATTTCTAAATGGTTCCATTGTGTTGGGCACTTGATTACACATTGAAATGTGTTGCTCTTCAATTGATTCATATCTGTGTGTCCTTAAGGGCAGTCTTGTCACTGGCAGTCCTTCTTACCAGACTCACATCTAGTCCAGTGCTAGATGCACAGTAGATATTCTTTATAAAGTTAATATTTACTTAATGTAATTACTGTACACACACAAGATGGTAGTATACTGGAAAGAGCATGAGATTTGGAGACAGATTTTGGAGTCATATCCTGGCTATGCCACTTTTTAGCGGTATGACCTTAAACAAGTTCCTCCTGTACCTCAGTTTCCTCATCTGTACAATGGGGATAAGAAAACCAATCTTATGTGGTTATTGTAAGGAGTGAATTAGATGAAGTAACTTTTGGCAACCACCAAGCATAGATACTGGCACATAGCAGGCATTCAACAAGTTCAAGAGTTATAAGATGATGCCACAGTTTTTAAAAACTTATTCTAATTTCTCTACTTTACAGTTGTAGTATGAGTGAGACCCTCACAAAGATACTTCACCCCTGTGTCCCCCAGGGGATTTTCACTTAGGTCCAGCTCAGTGAGGTTTGTATTGCAAATGAGAACAGAGGCAAGTTACTTGCAAACAGCCTCTGAGCTTTCAGAGAGAAAGCTAGCACACAATTTGGAAATAAAGATGAACAGAGACAGAATTGGCCACTTTACCATCCTACTCACTCTCTACCAACAATATCTCTTGAGCAGAGAAAATAAAGGCCCATAGAACAAGTCCCCTAACCTTGAGTATGTCACAGCCTCTTTTCCTCCATGGAAAGGACTTTTATATTGCTCCCACAACACAGTGTCCCCAGTGGGAACTCAATAAATGTTGACTGCCCCCAAAAGGAAAAGGGATGGGAGGAAATATCAAGACCCAATATAATTTTTATTCTCTGCATGAGTTTAGCACTCTAAACTCATTTGATATTCTTTCAAATCCTCCTTTCCTTTCCTCCTATCTAAAACTCCATTATAACAGAGTGCAGAATCTTGAAGGGAAGGCAGGGGAGGGGGAGTGGGTGGGAGGTAATCAATCAAAGACCTTGTATGCATATATGTATAACACATGGACACAGACAGTGGGGTGGTAAGGGCCTGGGGCGGGGGCAGGGTGCTATGGAAAAAAGGGGACATATGTAATACTTTCAACACTAAAGATTTTTAAGAAAAAAAGATGGCGCTGGCAGGACAGAGGTGAGGGATAGGAAGTGAGTGAGGGGATGAAAGGAGAGTGTGTGGATGTTTGTGGTGTGAGTGTGAGTGATGAGGGACAGTTAAATCCGGCAGGAGCAGCAGGGGCTGGCAGACCAGGCTCTCTTGGACAGGGCAAGACTACTACCGCTGCGGGCACTCCCTGGACTGTGGGACTCGGGCACAGAGCCCATGCCATCTTGAAGGGGAGAGCGGCCTCTTCTAGGAACTCATCAGCACCACCACCCAGACAGGCCTTGGACACTGCCCGCGACCCAGCAGCCACTCCAGCCAAAATCCTGCTGCCCCACCCACAGACCCATGGTTCCTGGGACCTCTACCTCCAAAGGTGCACCGCTCCCACAACAGCAGTAACAACTCACCACTCCTCAGAGGCAGAACTCTAGATGGCACAGACTTCCAGGGCACACCACTCCATAGGCAGCTCTTGGATGCTGCTGTGAACCCCTGCTGGGTGTGATTTTGAAAAGACAAGGGCGCGCTGCCCTGCAGTAGAAATTCTGAATTCCTTCTTCCTGAATAACTGCCTACAGACAAGCCAGCTGCGCATCTTTAGCACCAGGGCCACTCAGAGTGCATCAGAGCTCTGTGCCGGCAAACTCACTGCCACAGTCGTGCATTTCCAATGAGCAGGCACCCAGAGCCCATCTATCCACAGGGTGCTCATAGGAGCCGTTGCAAGCCCCCGCTAGGTGCGATCTTGGACAAACAGGGACACACTACCCCCGGCAGTAGAAATTCTGAATTCACTCACCCTGGATACTTGCCCACAGATGCCTCAATTACATGGGTTCAGTGCCAGGGCCCTTCAGAGTGCCTCAGTACACTACCCTGGCAAACACACCGCTGGTGCCCCTGTGAGCCGCCCCTGGGAGCGTGCCCCTATCCACCACAGGTGCAGAAGCAAAAACTGAGTCTGCCCACCCCACAGCTGCAGAACTCTGGGCACTACAGTTGCACGCTTTTCCAGTGCCACTGTGAGTTGCCGCTGGGCACGCGCAACTTCAAACAAGGGCGTAAGACAGCAAAAATTGGGACACCCCCCTCTTGCCCACAGATGCCTCAATTACATGGGTTCAGTGCCAGGGCCCTTCAGAGTGCCTCAGTACACTACCCTGGCAAACACACCGCTGGTGCCCCTGTGAGCCGCCCCTGGGAGCGTGCCCCTATCCACCACAGGTGCAGAAGCAAAAACTGAGTCTGCCCACCCCACAGCTGCAGAACTCTGGGCACTACAGTTGCACGCTTTTCCAGTGCCACTGTGAGTTGCCGCTGGGCACGCGCAACTTCAAACAAGGGCGTAAGACAGCAAAAATTGGGACACCCCCCTCCACGGCTGCTGCTGACTTCTAGACACTGCAGTTGCACCTCTCCAGCTCACAGGCCTACATCAAGCGAACCCAAATAGCTCAAGTAGGGAGCTATGCTAGATTACCAAGCCCAGGAGACCTGTGAGATCACACCAGTAGCACCATCCCAAAAGAACCTGGGTAGCAAAGAAATTTGATCTACAATTAAAACATTACAGCAAAATATGGGAAGACAAAAAAGCAATCCCCAAAGGAAAGAAAAAAAAGAATCACCAGAAAGGGAGTTAAATGAAAGTAAGGCTAGCAACATATCAGAGAAAGAATTCAGAGTAATGGTCATAAGGTTGCTCAAACGGCTGGATGACAAATACACACAACTCAATGAGAATTATAAGGAGCTGAATGAGAATGTCACCAACATGAAAAGGAACCAAGAGGAAATGAAGAACGACATAGCTGCAATAAAGAACACAACGGAAGGCTTAAACAGCAGACTAGAAGGGGCTGAGGACCACATCAGCGAATTAGAAGACAAGGTAGGAAAAAACACACAAATTTAGGAGCAACTGAAAAAAAACCTTAAAAAGCAAGAGGAGAGCCTAAGGGAGCTTTGGGAAAATGCAAAATGAAACAACATTTACTTAATACGGGTACCAGAAGAAGAGGAGGAGAAGCAAGGAATAGAAAACCTGTTTGAAGAAATAAACACACAAACACAGGAGCAACTGAAAAAAAAAACTTAAAAAGCAAGAGGAGAGCCTAAGGGAGCTTTGGGACAACACAAAACGAAACCATATTCACATAATAGGGGTACCAGAAAGAGACGAAGAGAAGCAAGGAATAGAAAACCTGTTTGAAGAAATAATGACAGAAAACTTCCCTGATATTGGCAAGAAAAAAATTATGCAAGTCCAAGAAGCACATAGAGTCCCAAACAAGATGAATCCCAAAAGACTGACAACAAGACACATCATAATTAAATTGGCAAACACCAATGACAAAGTAAGAATCTGAAAGGCTGCCAGAGAGAGATAGAAAGTACCTATAAGGAAGCTCCTATTAGAATATCAACTGATTTTTCAACAGAAACACACCAGGCCAGAAGGGAATGGAATGAAATATATAAAGTGATGCAAAGGAAGGGACTGAATCCAAGAATACTATACCCAGCAAGGCTATCATTCAAAATTGAAGGTGCAATCAGGAGCTTCACAGACAAAAAAGGGCTAAGAGAGTTTATTGCCATCAAGCCAGCAATTCAAGAAATGCTAAGGGACTGCTGTAAAAAGAAGAAACAGAAAAGCAAGAAGAAACACAAACATTAGGAATAAAAATGACGACAAACAAGTACTTATCAATAATAACATTAAACGTAAATGGATTAAATGCTCCAATCAAAAGACACAGGGTAGCTGAATGGATAAAAAAACATGACCCATATATATGCTGTCTACAAGAGACCCACCTCATTAGAAGGGACTCACACAGACTGAAAGTGAAGGGATGGAAA